ACTTCCTTCGCTCCATTCATATGATCAAGACCCAAGGAAAATCCCGGGTCCCATGAAACCTATATAGTTTATACATATGACATCGCCCTAGTAGAACATAAACGCTCTCGAGAACGCTCGACGTATTTCAAAAGTGGTCTTTGGACGTCCAATGTACAAGAATGAGCACCTTTTGTGCGCTCAGATGAGGTGCCTTTTGATCACGAAACATGCTGCATTTGAAGGACGTTTGTCGAGCGTATAAGATGCTTTTCTAACGTACATCAATGAGACAACGACAATGGCATTAGACAATGGCTTGCAGCAAAGGTTCGCACCATCGACGGTAGATGGCGCCAAATAGTCCCTAAAACGTGTCTTTTTCTGACATATCTGGATTCATTCCCCTTATACCTTCCACAAGGTAGCCGATCTCTCTCTCCACATAAACCAGAGCGAGAGATACTCGAATACATGAACAAATTGGTTTTTAGGGGCAACCCAGTCCAAGGAGACTACAGAGAACTCTGGCTCGAAAGATCGAGGGAGGATGGTTCAAAGTGACTTCTAGAGGAAGAGATATAGAGGGTGGCCCAAAAGTTTTTGGACCGATTTTTAAATGCCAATATCTCGGAAAGTATTGAAGCTAGAGACTTGAAAAAATCACCAAATGAAAGTTAAATTAATCCTCTTTCCAATTATGTATGGTTTTCCAGTCGTAGGTGTCATGCCATGGCCGCAATGGTCATTTGAAAAAACCATGCTTGAAAAAAAAAGTTGTAAACTGAGGATTTTTCAGTGTTCAAGTAAAAATTCTCTGTCTTTGCCTCGATTGAAAAATAAAAAGCTACTTTACAAGTTACACTGGTGGTAAAACTAAGTGATGTCGTAAGTTAGAGAAGGAGGTGAAGTTTTACCGGAAGCTTTAGGTTCAGACCCTTTCGAGTAGGGTACGACGTCTTTAAGCGAGGAAATCCACGACCTGCAGCGCCTAAAAACTTGGAGCCATGTGGAAGACGAGGTAAGCCGACCAGATGAAGTAGTCCACTGGGTTCAAATCTGGGCTGCAGGGTGGCCAGTTTTCAGGCTCGATGAAGTCAGGACAGTTACTGTTAAGAAAGTGCACAGTTTTCGTTGCTGTATGGGCTGGGGCGCCATCTTGCTGGAAGACATAATCTGGGCTCTTTTCCTCGATTTCAGCCAGCATGGGGGTCAAAACATCTTCACAATAGCTGTCCGCATTAATTTTAACTCCACGTGGGATAAAGAAAATTGACGTTTTCGCTGATGACGTGGCCGCAAGTGAAACCATTACAGACTCGGAGAAATGTTTCCGTTCACGCAGAAGTCGGTCTGGCGGTACGTTTCTTTTTCTTTCAACAGCAGCATGGACGCGGTCGTTTTGAGTGTTTCGTGGTGTTTCGACACTGAACCGCTTCTCGTCGGAGAACCAGATTTTTTTTACAGCTTTGTTGCTCCGAAACCTGTTCAATAGTTTTTTGCACCGAACTAGACGTTTCTTCTTGATTGCTGCTGACAGCTCATGGACAGGAACTCGCTTGAAAACTTTCAATTGCAGGTCCTTTTTGATTATCCGTTGAACAGACGAACGTGAAATTCCAGTTTCCTTGGACGCTTCTCGCTCACTTTTGCTTGTGCCGGGATTCCCTTCTTGGCTCAATATCAATTCACGAACACTTTCGATGTTTTCTGTAGTTCGCGCAGTTTTTGGTCGCGGACAATGGCCTGCTGCGAGCAGTGAAGGTCAAAGAAGTTCAAAAAAGTTTTTCATTCGTTGCCACCTGAAGAAGGTGAAAGCCAAGCCTTTAAGAAAATCTTAAACTAAGTTACTTTTAGGAAAAACCTCGCGAAGTGCACGAATGATTTTTTGATCACTTAAAGATAAACCGCGATTGACACTCATTTTAAGACCCCGTGGAAATAAAAACGGGTAATACAAACATTTTTTTCAAAAAGAGGAACAAAAGATGTAGCAAGGAAGTGCATACGAGGTCTGCCGAAAACCAGAAGAGCCAACAGTTAACAACTGAACTCGTCTGAGCATCGAAGCGTGGGCGTCTCACTTGTCCCGCATAATCCCTCACTTCCTCTTCCCTAGCTGTCTGCTGGTCAGCATCTTACAATTTCTACGCACCTAATGGTCCCAGTCGAGGTGCACTTGCCTGTCTGGTCTTCCCGGGTGTGACACGGATGCAGGATAGTAGCATCAAAATATCCTTGCAGCTCTTTTTTCAGGTTTGGTTTTTTCAAATGGCCATTGCGGCCATGGCATGACACCTACGACTGGAAAACTATACATCATTGGAAAGAGGATGAATTAAACTTTTATTTGGTGATTTTTTCAAGTCTCTAGCTTCAATACTTTCCGAGATATTGGCATTTAAAAATCGGTCCAAAAACTTTTGGGCCACCCTGTATAGTGTTCGTGATCTTCATTTCATCACACCTCGATTAAAGGAAGTAATAAGGGACTGATATCACGGATACTCCACGAAACCTGTAGGAGGTGGTCCACCCTCTGACGTGTGCTGTAATCAGTACAGTCAGAGGTAGATCAACGCCTGCACGATAGTGAAAGCGACACCCAGTATAAAAGAGAATTTTCGTGTTTGCATTACATCCCTATCACTTTCTGATGGGAGCGTTTTTACTCACGGAGAAGGAGAGCAATTTTACTCCTTGGTGATGGAGTAAATTCGCTCCTTTCCCAGAGTGAAAGGGGGTGAAACTGGAGTTAGCTATTTTACTCTTTTTTTTGAGAAAAATCGCTCCCCTTTTTCTAAGAGTGTACATGCCTCCTATGAGTCTCGATTGGACTAACCTTTAGGATTGTGTACTCCTTGACTTCGGGATACCAGTCAGCAGTGGCTGCGAATGTGTGGTCTCGTAGATCTCCGAACACCCATTCGCATTCAAAGTCCAACTGGGCCTGGGAATAGAACGGAACTGGCAACTGTGGGAATGGGAGCATTTCTCATTGGTCACTAAATCCGTTTCAAAGTTACTCCCTATTTCATTCCATAGACTCAAATTTTCTTTTTTCTTTACCATTCATCCCTACAGCTGAATGCCTCAAAGCCAATTTGAGAAACATAATTCGTAATGTTCATCTCCGTCTTCTTCTCCTTTATCGGATGAAGCCCTCCATTCCTAAAAATTTTGGGAAAGGGTCGAACCGACCACAGGAGTGAAGGGAGACAGAGCAGGATCCTCACCGGGATAGAACATATCGTCGGGTGGGGATTTTTTTTCAGATTTCCGATTTTTTAAGCCATGGTAAACTCATGTTATTTCACATTAACATTTTCCTGTTTTGTCATTGCTGGTCGTACGTCAATTTAGGAGTTTGTGGATGGAATATGCAGCTCTGCAAACTCATTAAATCTTTTGTCTTACTGCGTCAAACTCCGATGAATTTCAGGCCTTTCCAACTTTCAATTTTCGGACAAAGAGCAAGATAATCCTCACCCGACGACACGGAAAGAAAATCTGGGGATGATTCTTGGTGACATCAGATGTCACGAATGGTGCCTTTTTCCTATAATACGTCCTAATACAGAGTGCGACATAAGTCGCTTATAATAATTACTTTTATAATAGCCGATAATAATTACTTTTTATTTGGCTGCACTAATTGGGCAATACTGACTTTAATACGCTGGGTACAGTAGTGGGTTGACTAGCTGGCGGTTTAGTAGAAATTCTATTTCTAAAACGTATTAAAATCAGTGTTGCCAAATCAGTGCAGTCAAATATAGGAAAAATTATTCTCAGTAAAGTGACTGCCGCACTTGGTACAATTCCTTTAATGTACTGTATTGCTCCATGTCACAGAAATGTCCTTTGCAACATGCGTAGTCGATTTTAAGAAGTACCAGCTGAAGAGTGGAATTTTTTCTTTTAGGGGAATGATGGAGCGAGAAGGGAAAAAAGGTAGAGATAACCTCAGTCAATAGGAAAGTCTTCTTCTTCTCTTCGTCGTAGAAGGATTTCACGATGATTCCTTCTTCGTTGAAATTCTTCTCGATGGTCCATTCCTTCCTTTCCAAGATAGAGCAGAAACTCTGCAGCGCCTTTTCTCCTTCCTCGAAATAGTTCCTCTCTTTGGGCTGCCAAAAGTGGTACATGTCTATTACACAGCCATAACTCACGATAAAATATACTAACCAAGTCTAGCTCAACCCAGACCTCTACAGGGAACCATCGGTATCTTGCACAGCACAGGAAGCGCCGTGTGGTAATATTTCACATTCGCAACCAAATCATGTGAAACCAATCATCCTCTCAGTCTCATAGCCTAAAGTCTCAATGATTTTGTTATACTATGGCATCTAACAGCCCTTGAAAATTAAATATCTGATTCTTAAGTAAGGTGGAAAGCATTGATTCCGAAAAAACATTGCTTGATGAAACGGACTAATTTTGCAGAAAAAAGCTTCAGGTCCCCGCATTCGTCTTCCTGGGTCTGCAAGTGGAGACCATCGAAGGCATCACAAGTTGCATGATTGGGGCCTGTACTGCTGGTAGAGTACAAGGAATGGAAAGAAAATGGGGTGGGCCGTGGGGCGTTACATTGGCGAAAAACCTCCCTCGATAAGAGGCCACAATTACGTTAACGCATTAAAAGATTTGGAAGTCGCCACGAATGGTAAGGTCATATGAGGACCGAAAGGTCTTATCTATCCGCTTGTCTGGCAAGTACAGGGCTGATGATAACAAGTCCCATCTTGATCGACCGTGCGCCTTTGAAATATCTCTCCCCTCGGTTGCAACACTCTCATCTAACCTTATTTTACCAATCGAATACAATAGGAGCATGTATTGGATTTGCTTAAAATCACATTAAAATTTCGTCCTATGCGTGTGTATCGTTAATGTCACATATCATGACAGTAACAAAGCGGAGAGCATTATCAAGATTAAAGTCACGAGGTGAACTTTAGCCAGATGGCATTGATCAAAGCAGTGTTGAATCCTGTTCGCGTGCCCATATTGCATTGTCTGTTGTCATCACGTGTGTTGCATGCTTGTGAATGCTCGGGCGAGTCTTTGCATCATTCGAAGAAGGTGAGTGAAAACAGAAGCGAGAGCATGGAGATGATAATGAACTAATGAGGCCAATAAAGAGAAATTTAAGATTGCTAATCTATTAGAGGTGGGAGAGTAGTTTTTCAACCCATGTTCTATTATGGGAAGGAATCAATTGTTCAGCAATTCAGCAAAAAGAGTTCAGCAAACGTCTCTGACAGGAAAGGATAGTTACTGTCACATTCACAAAGACTATACTTCATGGAAAGCAGGTCGATGGTGGTGAGGTATCAGCATAGAGGTTTGACTGGCCATAAAGAAATCAATACATCTTGCTGGAAATGAGTTGCAAGTATTATAATGCTTATTGTGGGGGAAGATGAAGAAAATGGGGTCACAATCGGTTTCGTTCTACTATATTGAACCTGGAATTTCTTTCGGCAGGTTTGAAAATGTTTTTGATTCTTCTTGTCAGTTCTGCTTCTTTTCTTTGGCTCCACATCCATTTCACATTTATTGGTTTCTTAGAATAGGGTTTATGGCCCATCTTGTTCGGCTTCATGTAGACAGTCTTAGGAGAAAGGGCATTGTCATCAAATTGTCATTAAGATCATGAACCTTTAAATATCTATTATAATCCCCTTAGCTTTGATTTGCCTGCAATTCAGAATTCTTCACTATTAAGATTAGCATTAGTTTAAGGAGTTTCTTCATACCAAGACAATCATGGCAGGTGCCTCGGAGCTGTGTGCACGTTTATATTTTCATAAAAACGTTAAGTTTTTGTGCTCCCTGAAAATTGATACTTAGAATGTGCCCGGAGGCAATATGATGCGGGAGAAGGAAGGCATTCGAACGTAGGTGTATAAATTCTTTTTTGTATCAATAAATGAATTCAGATGAGCCTTCCATAACCATAACCTATTCATGTCCATTGCAGGTCTGCAAGGTACAAACTAAGACAACAAAGAACAGGATGATTTGAGGGATAATGCGTGTGCGAAAAATTTTAGGGCTGTGTTTCATTATAATGACTACATGAGCGAATTCGCTATCCCGAGGAGAGGACTTCAGGCAATCATGAGGGCATGTTTTGGCTGATTCAGGGAGCTATACATCCAAAGACGATTGACGATTGAAAGCTGACACTCCCCAGAACGTGACCGACTACTTGTGGCTGAGTTGCAAATGCATGAACAAATTGGAAAATGACTACTTCTTGAGGCTGTACAGACGATTCAGCAGAACCGAAAGGATTTGGCTATTGACCATGGGATTCTTCCCTATGCGATTCCAATTATATGGAATCAAACAGCTATCGACCTCTGGCATGACCAATCGAGTTGTGTCAGTGGATGCCTGCGTGAATGAAAGAGATGGACAAGGCATGGATGGGACTGCCTACTCCACGCACTTCCAGTGGCCATCGAACTTTGTCGAGTTAGGAACGGCAGCGTCACCTAATGAGAGCGGGACAGGCTGAGACAGAAAAAGAGCGAAACTAGTAGATGAGGCAATATAGAAACTAATTGAGGGTCATGGGATGACCGAAGCATGAACGCCATTCCATTCGGAAGAAGGAAAAAAAAACAGTCATGTAATTTGCTGCTTCACACAGCTGCATGTAATGTTCAGGATGTTTATTGAGGCTGTAGAACCTTTTATAGCTCATGCCTCCTGTAAGATGCAATATATGGCAATAATTTTTTACACGTTTTTTAATAAAAGTCCCAGTTGTATTGCAGAGTTGATCCGCGCAATGGAAATGAACATGTTACGCTAGAAACATTTTCGTTAAAACTAGAGTTTGTTACGAAATCTAAAAAGTTGATATTTCTACCCCAATCTCTATAACTCGTGGCTATCATGTAAGGGGCTAAATAAGACCTGGCACTGGGACTTTCCAAGTATTATACAGTACAGTTTATGTGTCTTATTCTTCAATATATGGAATCTCTGTTGCAGGAAGTACTCAAACTAATGCATCTATTTCAGGATTCGTGCTATTTCGTCTTGCTTTAATGCAATAATTAAATATGGATTATTAACCTGTCAAATTTGGGCTGGCCTGGCTTTTCACTTTCACGAGAAACCGCTTCAGGAAATTAAAAAGGAGCTAAGAGGGAATAGGTTTTTTGCGCACCAATCCTTTCAGGATGTGAGTGGCTTGCACAAATACGTGGAACTGTAGAAACACCTTTAACTAGACTATTTGTCTTGGGATCGACCTTTAGCTCTGCAAATCAAAATTACAATGTATCATACTAATACACCTATTTGTGGCACATAGGCAAGGCCTAGGCCTTCACCTCAAATGACTTACTCTTCTTTGTTTGTGGCTCACCCATAAAAGGGGTATGAAAGCAAACGTGAACAATCTTAAACACAGCATATATGAGTTCCCACTGGAACTACTTTCACGAAATTTGATAGATTGACACAATAGCTCAACAAAAAGTATCGGGACAGCGGTGCCTCTTGCCTCTTCAGACCCAACGGTAAGTTACAAGTCAAATTTGAAATCCCAAAGTTGATTGTCTAAGCTGGACCTCCGTGGGAGAAAGCAAGGGAGCCTATAGTTTTTTTTTAATCTTCTTTGGAAAAGAGGAATCGCATGACATGCATACATGCCACTAGGTTCTCTTCCTTTGAAGCGAACGGTTGCCACAGTGCATTTAGTGAGAGTAAAAGAAATGCTATGAAAGCCAGCAGTCAAGGATCATATTCGACTAAGTACTGTCACATTCATTGCGTCGACAAGAGTAGCAACTTCGGCTGAGGATATTCGATAATACCGAAGTACTGCGATACCCCACACCTTCCTTGACCCCCCACCCCCCAACCTGCTAGTGAGGGAGAAGTCAGTTATCCCTAAATACTGGGCCCTCCGCACTGTGGTTTCTTCATTTCCAAGAACCTGATATGTGAACATCCCCACAAGAGAGAGCTTCTTTGGGCGGTAATGAAGCTGGAGACATCTTGTCACGTGGCTCATTGATGTTCCACAGCGAATCTAGACATTTTTAGTGGAGTGGGTAGGGGGGACGGAATCCCAGGAGAGACAGGAGAGCAGGAAGGAGCGCATGATGAAAGAAATTGGAGGGGATTGCCTGCTAATAAGTGCCTGAAGCAATCATTGGGGGTGGCTATCCCCCTCCCCGCCCCCAAGATCTGTCATTCCCCCTGCATTGGTCTTTTTTTTGGGTCTTCCGTGACATCAGTTGATACTTGACATGGAATTTCATAATTATGCTTTTGGGGGGCAAGGAAATGTTCGATATAATTGAGACACCGTGTCCGGGAACTTGGGGGCCAACAGCTTCTCATACTGTGCTTCAGCGAAGAAACGAATGACTTGAAACTGGAAGTAATGACGAAGCAACTTAATTTCCTAGCTGTATCTTGCAAGAGTTTCCCTCGGATACATACATAAGTATGTCTCTTTTCTCCTCGCTCATATGGCATTGCCATTCATGACAACTTGCAAGTCCTGAAATGAAAATTTCAACCCCTCCCTCCCCTTCGCTTGGCAGGCACCTGTAAGGATTTTTTCTTGCAATTCAATCTTCCTTATTTCATCATTACCCCCAGGCAATTCATTCAGTATCGTTGATTACTGCATTGAAATTGTCGAAAATAAATGCATCAAATGAAGTTGCAACTTCCTTTCATGAAAGACTTTCACATGCTTACCCAGAATCTAGAAGCGCTGGGAAATTGCCGGTCTGTATATGAAAATTTTGTAACTATCCAACAAAGGCTTTCCATAACGGGCACGTGTTCGCTAGCGACATGAGCTGAGATGTCCGCCAGAGTGTGCAGTCACCTCCGCTTTCTTACTCCACCGACTTACCCTGTGCGTGTGCCGAGGCGTGATTCGTTAAGATTAAATAAAGTCCTTCGGGATTATTTGCTGTGAAAATAAAATCTCCTCGCGGCACATCCAGAAAGATGCAGGATTATGTTGGGATCTTATCGGCTCCCTGCTTAGGCCTGGGATGGGTTAAGCTACATTAGGCTGGCTTATTAGTAACTGAAACTCTAAAATAGACTGATTTTCTTGCGAAATTTACGGTCGCGGGGGGTAATATTGGTAACT